GTGTGTGTGTGTGTGTGTGTGTGTGTGTGTGTTTAATTCTTCAGTCAGTTGAAGCACTCAGGACAAATGGAGTTACGCGTGGGGAACAAATACCGCCTCGGGAGGAAGATAGGGAGCGGATCCTTTGGAGATATTTACCTCGGTGAGAACAAAAAGCGTTTTTTTTTTTTTGTTTACTCTAAATACAGTAAACAGAATCAACTGAAACAGCAACCAATGAGTAGACATTTTTCTCTCGGCCTGCATTTCTCTCATCAGGTTCAAACATCGCTACGGGAGAGGAAGTAGCCATCAAACTGGAATGTGTCAAGACCAAACACCCACAGCTGCACATCGAGAGCAAGTTCTACAAAATGATGCAGGGTGGACGTAAGACACACAGAGACCTGTACAGACCCTTGATCTGTGTCAGATTTAAACCACGTTGTTCATAAACAACCTCATAGGCTAATGCAGTGGTTCCCAAAGTTGGTCCCGAAACACCAAGGTGGGGTCCTGAAAAGATTTTCTGAATTAATTACACTAAAAAATTACAACTATCAATATTTTTTTGCCTTTGTTGTGACAAATGAGTAAAGTTAGTGTACTTAAAGTGGACAAAAAGAGAGTAATAAATAATGTTACTATGCTCTTGTTTGTTTGACGTGAAACCAATGTTCATCAKCCAACAACAGCTGGGGTCACAGGTCTCTGCTGCTGGCATTTTGTGGGTCAAAAGCTGAAAAGTTTGGGAACCACTGGGCTAATGGAATAACACTTAAAATATAACACACTAATAAGATCTCACAAAAGAAGAGTATATGGAAAATGCTAAACAGAGGCAATATTGAAGAGCTTGTTCTGTGTCCTAATCTCATTTCCTAATTTCTTTTCCTCAGTGGGAATTCCACTTATAAARTGGTGCGGGGCAGAGGGAGACTACAATGTTATGGTAATGGAGCTGCTGGGCCCCAGTTTGGAGGATTTGTTTAACTTCTGCTCCCGAAAGTTCAGTCTGAAAACAGTCCTACTTCTGGCTGATCAGATGGTAAAACAAACACTTTGCACCACAATCAAACCTAACCCTGACCAGAATATGGTTACCTCAGAAAKCTTTAGCTGTAACTTAAAAACTGTCTTGTAATTTCACAAATTCATCGTTAGGATGCATGATGTTCAGTGTGGAAAAATAAAGTCCATAAACTGTACCAGGTTCTGAAATTAAGTGTACAAAAACACACTAAATTAAACAAAATGGAAAATCTATGTGTGAAAAATTGAGTTCATGATTCAGGAACTTGTGGACCCTTATTTAGCAGCAGATTAAAGTGGTCACATCTTACATGGCAGTGGAGGAATTCTGCCCCACTTTTACTTCTGTAAATTTATCTTACTTCAGTTCATTGAGGTTTGCAGACATTTTGTTTCTGCTCAACTCGTCTGGGTCAGGTCTGAACTTTGAAACATTTTCTCACCGTTCAGGACCAGGTTTTAGCTRTCAGACAGCTGGCCTCACATTGTGTAGAATCCTTTGTTTTACAGAGTTCTCTGCCCAGATCATCACCCTTTCACCACCTCTTTGACAATTGGTCTGAGGTGGTTGTATTACTGCTGTGTGCTGCTGGGTTTGGTTTTCTCCAAATGTGCTGTTGTTGTGCATTATGGGTAAACATCTCTACAGTGGTCTCATCCGCCCAGAGGTCTTGGGTTTCTTTCAAGTGTACTGGTAACCTTATTAACCTGAGTCATGCTGTCAGGTTCTAGAGGTTTTTTCCTGGCTAACACTTTCAAAAATGTTAGACTTGTTTTGTCTTTTTCTAATTGTCCTGCTATTAACTTCAACCTTTAACATGCTTTCTGAGGCCTATAGAGTCTGAGACGAATACAATTTGGAAGATCTTTTTTCATCCCGTTACTGTTTTAGGTGGTCATCAATCATGGTACGAGGCCTCTTCTGAAAGAGCCTAACATCTCACCACTCGGGCTGCAATTTTAAAAGACAAGAGAAACTCATAACTCTAGTGAGCTGATCTAAAGAATACACACATGCACAAGAAAAGCATAACTTCTGTTTATTTCTCTGCTCTTTGCAGATCAGTAGGATTGAATACATCCACTCCAAGAACTTCATCCACAGAGATGTGAAGCCGGATAACTTCCTGATGGGGCTCGGGAAGAAAGGCAACCTGGTCTACATCATCGACTTTGGCCTGGCCAAGAAATACCGTGACGCCCGAACGCACCAGCACATACCCTACCGTGAAAACAAGAACCTCACTGGCACCGCGCGCTATGCCTCCATCAATACCCACCTGGGTATCGGTAAGGTATTGCACGCCTAGATATACCCTCAAATTTTTTCTTCCCTTATCTTTATTCCCTGATCTTTCTCCACAGAGCAGTCAAGAAGAGACGACCTGGAGTCCCTGGGTTATGTTCTCATGTACTTCAACCTGGGCTCTCTGCCGTGGCAGGGGCTCAAAGCTGCAACCAAGAGGCAGAAGTATGAGCGCATCAGCGAAAAGAAAATGTCCACCCCCATCGAGGTGCTCTGCAAAGGATACCCTTGTGCGTAAAAGCTAGCTGGAAGTTTCTGTTTCATTGGTGAAAARGCAGGCATGCTTGATCAGAATTGGGCTAGACACTTATCTAGAATTGGGATATTTTACCGTTGACTGTTTCCTTTCCTCAGCGGAGTTTTCCCTCTACATGAATTTGTGCCGCTCTCTGCGATTCGATGACAAGCCTGACTACTCGTATCTGAGGCTCCTCTTCAGGAACCTTTTCCACAGACAGGGCTTCTCTTATGACTACGTCTTTGACTGGAACATGCTGAAGTTTGTGAGTGTTGCATTGTCACAACTACAGCTGGTGCTAAAAAAGGTTTATAGTCCCACTTCACACACAGTCGGGTTTTAAATTAAGTTAGCATTCCTATTGTTTTTTTAATGTATTACTTGACAATAAAAAACTAGCCTATAAAGGAATTTCTGTCTTTAATCTGCATGAGGTCAAAGGTTTGACAGCCCTTATKTTCTGGTCCATACCTAGTTTCCCTGGTACCTACTTTCTCTAGAGGTTAATAATGAAAGATCTGAAACATTCTTGGCTTCTCTTTGAAATGTATTTAAAAAGAAATTAATAAAATACTGAATTGCACTGCAGGCATTATACCAAGGAACATAGGGATGGTAGTACCGAGGGGGACATATGGATCTGGGAAAAAGAGGTACTGGGGAACATGAGTACCAGGAAACACAGAGATGAGAGTACCAAAGGGAACGTGGGTATCTGAGAACATAGGGATGACCTCCTAATGCTCTATGAAAACATTGGTCCAAACTAGTTTTTAAAACTGGAAAGACTCAACGTAAGATTTGCAAATGTTAATGCCATGTTGAACCATGCCATCTTATTCTTAAAAACAAAACAACCAATAAAAAAACAGGCTAACACAAAGATGCAGCATTTAAACAACTTCCTCATAATAACTCATGATAGCCCCATTAGTAGCAATACATTTAAGTAACTGATGTTTGCAGGCATTTGTATTTCTGAAAAAGCTTTCATCGGGTCCTGCTCAGGTTGACATCTGGACTTGAGGTTTATACTTTAGGTCTTTTGTTATTCAGYCGTTCTCCTGTAGATGACTGGCTGATCTTGGTATCATTGTCTTGTTGATGGTCTCATGTTTAACTTTTAGTTTAGACAAGAGATTTTGCTAACAGTGGCTATGAACATAAAGTTCAAGTATGTTGGATTCGTGCTTATGAGTAGAAGTAGCACAGAGCAGGCGGCGGATTGGGCCAGCGCCTACAGTGGTGCAGACGTTGTGCTTAAAWTTCTTTGGTGAGAAGAGAGAGAAAGCTAAAGGCAAAACTCTCAGTTCACCACTCAATCTACACTGCAACTCACAAGTTAATTATCAAAAATACTTAGGCTGCTAAAACAAGTGGTTGAAAGCTTCTGCTGCAGAGACGGGACTCACCCTCAGGGTGAGAAGTTCAACTATTTTCAGGAGTTTAGAGTCGCCACACTATCATTTTAATTTTAGAGGGATCTAATCTTTGCCTCTGTTTCAGGGGGCCGGCAGGACACCAGAAGACGGGGAGAGAGAGAGAAAGGACGGGAAAGAAGGCGAGGAGCGAGCAGTCGCAGGTCAAAAAGCTGCCGGGGGTCGAGCTTTGCCTCACGGTCCCAACGCCTCTGCGGCCAACCGGGTCAGGAACGAGCCAGAGACCACTCCTTCTAATCCCCCAGCACGTGGGGTCCAACCGTCAGGTGAGGGCGCTGGCGGAACATTCCCCAACAACGCCGGAGTCCATACTTCTCTCTGATGTGTTTRTGTTTYGGCACRTGTGCAGGAAACCACTCTCCTCAGGCAGGGAGAGCCGAACGAGCCGAGCGAGAGAGGAAGGTGGCCATGAGGCTTCACCGCGGCGCCCCCGCCAACATCTCCTCCTCTGACCTCAATGCACGTCTCGACCAATCACGTGTCAATGCATCACAGGTACAAAAAAGACTATGTAYTGCCTAGTCCAGGAACAATTATTTTACAGTTTAAAGGAAGGAGAAACATTTGAGTACAGTATTACAGTATAGTACTGAAGTAAAGTATGTTGACCGAGGAAGTCAGTAAAACGACAAATCTAAAAAAA